TGTTCAGGACGAACAATACTAAGGAAGCGGCAGTGTTACGACAGCGGAAGTCACGTGACGCTAGTAACACGTCCTGATATTCTAGAAGGATCATGTCTGTTCGTGGCAACTCTGGTCTTTTCTATGCGCCCTCTATTCTCGTATATAAGTGCGCCAGATAAAGCGAATTTAATTAATTAGAATAGAATTGCAGACAGACTGAGACGGACAATTGAGTCAAGCGCGGTAGTGACCGTAAGTAAAGTGCGTGAATCGTTGTGAATTATAGCGTGTGTTTAAGATAAAGTGACTGTGGAAATTAAGTGTATTGCAAAGTTGAGTTGAGAAAAAATAAACTAGTTTTATTTAAGAAATGACTTGTATTGCTGAAGTTTCTCGGAAAGAAATTATACAGGAAATTAACAAACGACCAGAGACGTAACAATAAACTGCATACATTTACATACAAAAAACATCTTTTCTACAAGCAAACATTTGCTGTATTTTTATATCATGGCGTAATGCATTGACGAAAACCAAATGGTCACCAAACAATACTATAACAATAAAACTTTTAACTAGGTAAATTTAAAAAGTCGTAAGTTTGTAACTAATAATCTTTCGATAAGGACTTTTTTTAGGCAATTTCACCTACTCGCCCTAATAAAGAGAACATTACAATCAACTTATTTATTACTTTTTATCAGAACTAATCAAAAGAAACCTGTAAACTCTGCAAGTATAAAAATATATAGTGATCGTCCAAAAGCTAGTAGTAATTGTTCTGAAATTCTGTTACCTTTTATTAAGCCTCGACGGAGAATAACATCTAAGGGTTGAAGAATACATCCTGGCTGAGTATCTCCGTTGTTGGGGTAAAAGTCAAGATGACCCACTGACTGTTCTATTCCATTTCCTTTAAAATATTAATTATAATGATTTAAACAGCTATTGAAACAACAGATGTATGTTTAGACGAAAATCAAAGCAACTGAAATTAACCGAGATGTGAATCTCTGAAAGAAATGACATCGTTTACACTTAGAGAAATAGTTTTAATAAAAGTTTAGAGCCTTGTTAAATACTGTAATATTTTTAATACATTGCTTAAAGTTAAATTTAATTATAATTTTGAAATAAAAATCCTATTGTCCATCATTCTCAAAATGTATTCTAAATCAAACTGATAGTGTAGAAAATAGATATGTTCTTTGAAATTAAGCCCTCCAGTGGCAGAGCGATACGTCTGCGGATTTATACTGCTAGAAGCCGGTTTTCGATACCCTTGGTGAGTAGAGCACAGATAGCCCTTTGTGTAGCTTTGTGCTTTATAACATACAACAACTACAACTTTCAAATTACATCCACTGTGAAATTTTATTGTGGTGACTAGAAGACTGAGTACTTGAAATGATTGAAAATTAGATAAGAATTACCAGGTATTATATCACTGCCAGTGTCCGTGTGGATGACATCAACAAACTGGGCGTCTGACGGATCAAGACGTACAACTGTTGGCATTCCGTTGAAGTACAGTCCAGAAGGATCTAGACCTAGCGTTCAATACATACATATATATTTATATATACACACACACATCTTAAGAATAAACAAAATGTATATTAAGCTATTCATAGGAGAAGGAATCGGTTATTAAATTCGATCAAATAATTTCAATCGAAAGCAGTAAGCGATAGCTGTATACAAAGTAATTATAAGTAAACTTTTGCAGTTCGATGTATCGTATCTCACAAAAGGTTTCACAGCTAATTTCTTTATTGTATGTTCTCGAAGACCCATCAGCACACAGACTACGTATTTTATAACTAAAAGGTACACGGTACCATGCAATGCTCACAAACAAAGTAATTCCCATGCTGCTACAATGAAAAGTGATAAACACTCCGTTTTTCATGCAGGATGATGCTCAAAGCCAGCGTTAGCTGTCGTTGGTCTCTCAAGCCAATACCATCCATTAATTTAATTTTAAATTTATTTTAGAATTGGCTCATTATGTATCTCATTGCTCTCCCCCCTCTCAAGTTAACAAAAGTATAAAAGTATGGAGCCGAGACTGATGGTGTCCCTCTACATATATGTAATCAGGTGAAACAAGTCTTGCGGAAGGACTTTCAGGACAGAATCATTTCACGTCACATTCCTCGTGAATGGCCATCTCGTACCTAACACCAGCTGATTTCTGGCTGTGAGGTTATCTAAAGTCATGCGTACCATGGGAAGCCTCGCACATTTCCTGACCCCAATTGTCTAGGAAGTGACCAGCATACCATATGAAATGTACATTGTTGCTGTAATGACACAGATTCAGTACATTATGGAAGCTAGAGGAGCACATTTTGAGCAGTCGCTGTAATTGATCAAACATGAAGTAATAGTGGAGCCCCTGGTGGTAATATGTGATAAGTGTGATATTTTAACATTTCTGTTTCATTTCATCTTCTTACACCATACCATTTGTGAGATATGAGAAGCTGAAGTGCAAAACATCTTTATAATCAACCTCTATACAAGCCTTATTTTTGCAGTAATTGTGAATTTTCAGTAAATTTAATCCAATTTGGCTTATTTGAGAAAATGTCATGAAATATTTCTATATGTAGTAAATCTAAATCATTTTTAACATTTAAATTATGGTCTCCATAAATGATTTAACTAGTGGAATTATGAACAAAGTAAGTACAGGACTTTTATATCTGGTATGTGGCATGCTTATATTTATCATGAACCACGATCGTAAAGGAATTTGTTCAAAACTCTAATGGAACAATCGGGCAAAAAAACATCTTAAAAAGCAGATTTATTCTTGAAACAACACCAAAAACCTTCCTTTTCAATAAGCAATACGACCCAAACATTGATAATAAGTAAAATAAGTGATTTCACGATTGTACACATCAAAATTTGCCGATTTTTTCATATTATTATTATTTCACAAGTCTACAGCAAAATTATCTAAGTATTTTGCACCAAATCCTAGACAGATATACTATATAAAGTACAGTAATTGTACATGACCTATTTAAAAGTTGATTATTTTTCATTGAAAGTTGATTTACATGGTTATAAATACATAATAGATACGATGTTGTTCTGAGCAGCTGCTTTTGTTCTTGACATGTGTTTACACGAAACCTCGGGCACAAAGCCACCTGGCTCAGTATATAATTACTTTAAAAGACACGAAGCTTTATTTAAAGCGATGTTTTGGACGTATTTGTTTTATTTTAAAAGGCTGCTTTTCTACTAGTAAAATTTTATGTGCGCTTAGTGGGGGTTGTGTCTTACTTTAGGCATATATTTGCCCATAGCCGTGTATTAAAAAAGACAACATCATAAAAATTGAGAATTTAAAATCTTTAAAAGGGGGATCGCAAAAAATCCGGTGTTTTCCTAGTGAGGGCGTTAGTTGTAAACTACAACTTGTGCATTTTCTAATGCATTAATTGGAAACCGTCACGTGAAAGGTTCCTGATTTTGCTGTCGCTATTGTTCATCATTACTCGAGTTTGCTTTCTTTGCGTGGATTTTCGTGACTATGTTTCAGCAAGTTTTTAACAGTGGACGATTACCATAGTAGATGTTTTTCCTAAGACGACGGTGGTGATCCTTTTTTACTATTTCTTATACTTACCTGAAATCGTGAGTGTGTATTCAGTATTTATTACCACTGCGTATAGCACTATTTCGTATAGCTATTACTATTTTTAAATAGTTGGTGTTAAGGTAGCGTTTGCAAATATTTTTGATAACTGGCGACTCACGCTAAGTATGTCGCTGTTGTCTATTTTGCACGCACAATTTGTGCCACCTTATTCTAACAAATATTTGTGCACGGCAGGCTGTTGAAGAATATACATATATGTCATGTAGACCTAAAAAGGCATGCATGTTACTACGTCTGTTTACATTGCATTAATCTATATTGTATTATCTTAGAAGAAACATTATTCCATTTTGGTGAGATTGCTTTGTTGCTGCTCGTCATTTGTTACATTACACTGTGACATTGATGGAAGGTAGTCATTAAATCTATGATGATACAATATTTGCTTTCAATATGGTTCATTGAGAACAACTTTACATTTTACTTGTTGTAGTTGTATACCAGAACATGTGTTTATTCTTTGTTGTACATTTATTATTTATTTTGAAAAAGTTCAGTGTGATGGTTGGGTGGAAAAAAAGCCAATGCAGCAGCAAACTGTTGAAAAACATGTAACATTCAAATGAATGTATATGCACGCATGTAGCTTAAAATTTATTCTCCATAAATGGACATAAAACTTAAGAATCAAAATGAGTAAAAATTGTTTTTAAAAAAGGGGAATATGGATCATGTCAAAAAAGTACAGAAACAAGTTGAATCAAAATGAAAAGATTATATTTTGAAGCCTATAACTAGAGATTCTAAAAAAAGGTAAGCAAACAAGGCTGGAAATAGATCTACATTATTTTCTAAAGCTAAAAAGCCATATTTTGACTCCATGTTTACAGTGCTTATCAATTTTAGTGGAGTCAAAATAGGGATTTTTAGCTTCAAAAAATAATATAGACATTATTTCCAGTTTTCTTTCTTTATTTTTTTTTGAAGTTGTAAGCCTAGTTGTAGGCTTGAAGTATAATATTTCCATTTCGATTCAACTTGTTTCTGTACTTTTTAGACGATCTCTATTCTCCCTTTTAAATTAACACCTTTTACTAATCTTGTTTTATTTAGGTTTGTATTCTTACCGGTAATTCTACCAATTTTGTCTATTCTCTCTCCGGTATAACCCGCCACGTGAGCCCCTAGACTGTGACCAATCAAGTGAAAGGCAGAAGGACTGACCTCTGTAGTTTTCTAAGCAGGTAGAGATAGATTATTAGTATGAATATTTGACAAATATTTATCTACATACTTTCTATGTTACTTATTTGTGTGTTTTAGGACTTTCGGGAAAAGCTACCTGTACATAGCCATCTTCAACTGATTTAATAGATTGCTAATCATTAAAACCATCACCAACTATTTATCTGCTATTGTTTAACCGTCACGCTAATAGAGCACCCACTGCCTCAAAATGCTGAACGCATTTTGGGGGGGGGGGGACGGGAAGCGAACCATGAAAACCTAGCTTTATAGTCTGGACATGCTAACCACCAGGCCACAACAAGCCATTTTTCTTTTGAAGTTATTCATTGTTGCTGTTTTTATCTTTAAGTACATACGGAAGCTCTCATTAAGATTCCAGAAATGAGGACAACCCTTACTAGAATAAGAATGATGAGCTAGATTCAAAAGAAAACTATATTTGAAGCTCAAATGCTACATTCTTAGTTGCTTAAATGTTAAACACAGACTTTTTTAACTGTCAGGTTTAAAGTACGATATCTGTTTAAACAAATTTCTTATTTCTTGCTAAGGATAAAACATGGAGACATGGTAACTAACTACATTTCAGACTAAAGCAGTGTTCTAGAAGATGTTGAGTCCAAACAAGGAGGGATAGTGAGATATACCTGTCATTGTCAAGCTGTTAAATCAAAGACTATATAAACAAAATTATTTGTTCAATTATTCCAGCATTACATAAATCTTGAATAAGGAACTATTTCCATCTGACAGTAAAACAAAGATGTTGAAATCTTAATTTTGGAAGCAGTGTTTTCTACGCTTATGAGATTGGAGCAGATATTCATTACTGTAATTAAGGGGAAATCCCGAAACTGTTTGATAAATACTTAAGTAGCCAAAAATATTATAAAAATGGGGGATTTGACCGTTTATTTCATAATTATCGGGCCTGACAGCTAATCTTTATAACTTTTATATGTATGCCGATACCTGTAGAAACTTGATCAAGGCTGCTATTTCTGCTCCAACTAATTCTGTGTTAGCTACAGCTTGAGGGTAATTTAGCGTATTCCCACCAGACCAATCTGTAGTGATGACGTTATAATCTCCTTGTTCCAATAAAGCATTCTTCATATCCTGTGTAGTCAAATATAAAGTAATAATGAAACATATTAACATTAACAGTCTGTTAAGGAATTATTATTTTCTCATTTAGTGAAAAGTGTACGCAAGGTAAACGTCGTTAACAGTAAATGAATAAAAGGTTCGTTAAACAATACAAAGGACACGTATTGCATGATCAATACAATATATATATATATATATATATATAGCTGCTTCTGAACTTGTTCAATGATAAATGTAAATTTTCTTTAATTCATAATTTAATCTGAATGAAACTTAAAGTTGTCTTTTAATCATAATAGATTTACCTTTGATCTGTTAATCTGATTAATTTATATTAGCTTTTAAGAAAAACGAAGAACCCCTTAGAGAAGAACTCCAACAGCAGTCTATTTTCTGCCAGTGAATTTGTTGATATTATGCTAAGTTATTTTTATCATTTTTATCCAAATAATAACGTCTCTGTAATGTGTGGCATTGTTCGACAGTTATTATGAATTAAACTTGACTCATCCAGTTATAAAGCTTTCTTACTGAGTTAGGCAGGAAATACAAGCATTAAAGTGCAAGACAAACAAGTCACTAGAAGCGCTCCAATATAAACTTTCAATCTTGTCTCTGTTTGCTTTGTAAGTCCATAAACTTACCGCCGCCCTACTAGAAGATGTTTATGTCTGTATTTATGAGAACAATCAGATATTAACCGTAGGATCAAGTAACGAATTAAGAAAATTTCTAAAATGTGTTAATGGTGTTTCAAATGAATTTTTTTTCGTATCTAGATATCCTAATATGTTTCGTGAACTCAGAAGGCACACATTATTGCCGTAATCAAATAATTTAACAACATTCTGTCAGCAGCACATTTCTGTTTATAAGATCTTTTGTTGTTTTATTCGATTTCGTTTGAGACAATAATAACATATTTTATTCCAGAAGACTTCTTTGGATCAGAGAATTTTGAGTTACATCACTTTTCATCAGTAACTCTAGAATAAATTAAAGAAAAATCTTTTAATCAAGTCTTGCTGAAAGAGGTTGATAATTCATATTCCTGCTATTTTTCATTCCTTTTTTTATCATTGCTAAATGACCTACTGAAGTCGTTTCAAGGACAAGCAGTATTTATTATTGCTCCAAATTAACTCCACGCTTGTTAAAAAGGGTTATTACTGTGAACAAGAATGTATGATAACTTTTTCTCCAGTTTTCGGTGAAAAAAAAAATACAAATCATATAGAGTGTGATCAAATTACTGATAATTTTTTTTTATCATTTTTTCTTCAGAAATTTATGGATAATAAAGAGAGAAGAGAGTTTAAGTTGAAAAACAAATTATAAAGTGTTTGGACGAGAGAAAGTGTTTTGAGAGAGATATACTCCCGGAGATCATCGAAAAGTTGAGTATTCATAACTTTTAAACATATTTTAGATAATTTTTAGATGTTAATGTTTAATTAATTTTCAGTATTAAATGAGACTCTCGTCGAAAGAGTTGTTAGAGTTGGCTAATTTGACGGCTGCCAAAACTTTGAAGCTAATTAATATATTATTCCTACCTTTGACCTGAAATCACTTACTTTCATCCAATCTCCGTAAACCTCTAAGCTATGGAAATAACCAGGAATAAGTATCTTCGTCTCTCGACTTGCACTAAATAGAGAATCTCCTGGTGACTCGATTGAGTCGATTTCTAAAATCACGTGGTTTTTCTTATTTTTTTGCGTATAAAGACGAAACTTCACGCCGATAACCTCACGATCCTGAGGAAGAAAATCCAGGGTGTCGAAAAAATTCCCTCCTTTCTTGAAACATCCCAACTCCTTGTAACAACCCTCCTCCTCTATTAGTAGTAATTAAAAATACTTGTTGTGATAGACATTTACTTTCCTACTTATAGGGTAATGCACTTTAGACAAAATTCAAACGGACAATTCTTAATCGTCCTATAAGAGAATTCTTTCTGAAATCATACAGATGAATTTGTACTTTTCTCATTCTATTCCTTCTGAAAAGAGTTATTCTCACTTTACCTTCACTGATATATTTGCATATTTCAGCTCATATAGTTTGAAGGACCACCAAAAAGAATCCTTGCTTAATATTTCTATAAACTAGCTTCAACTAACAACAGCAACAAAATACAATGCGTTTATTTGTTTATTTATTTTTAATTTGGAGGGTCAATTTTACCAAATTAATATAGATGTCGTCTTGATTTATTTAAGATTTAGCCTGTCATAGTAAAAATATCTAACTTCTCTAGCTATAAAACAACAACAAAATAAGTGTAGGTAACTAATATTTTAAAACTTCAGGGTCTTATTAGTAAACATATGGCCATAAAGGACTATAACAGCGCGTATACAATTAGTTTTGTTCATTTATTGAAAGACTCTTTATTTTAAAATAGTCAGAGTTTTATGGTGACATCTGTCTAGAAAGGTAAAAAATACAGCTGTAATCTTTACAATTTTGAAGAATTATAAATCATTTTTACCTAAGTATTCTACAGTATTTTTTCAAAGAATAAACTTTTATGAGTTCACTGAAACAGAATATAAGGACGACAAAACACTCACGAACGCTTCCTGGAGATTGAGGTTTATCCTCTTTGACAGGACTGTCATGTGATGAGGTTGCTACAAAAGAGATGAAAATGAGCACTATCAACTTGTTCATGTTCTTCCTTCAGTACGAATGGGGAAGCGCGAAAACTGTTCCAACTTCTATTATCAAACAAGGAAAAGCCTCGTTATAAAGCTGAAAGTTATCAGTCTTAAGGAAAAGTCTTGCATTTCAGTGTAAATCCTTCAAAATATCTTCAGGGTCATATGATGCCTTGTTTTATACACCAGATCTAGCTTTATGTATTTTAAATTGTATATATATTTTTTGGCACACTTCCAGTCAAATGCAGAAACAAGGAAAAGAAGCTATAAATGAATGTACTTTGTCGGTTGTCCATTATTATGTTATGTTGTCCACTGAAAAAACTTGTAAGTTGCTTTTGGGTAATAGAATTTCTAAAATCGAGTTTTGTTATTGCCCAACATTTCAACAGAAAATAAGATAATACAACCACCCTAAATTGTTCAAATATTGAAATTTTCCAGGTGAAATAAGTTAGTATAAAGTATAACAGATAATAAATATTGTATAATATTTTGACTTAACTCCAAATCAGGTAACTCATTAGAAGACTTGACATAGTGAACATTCAATGACTTATGCTACCAAATGCAAGTATGGAAAGTATTGTTTGTTTGCTGTTAAGCGCAAAGTTGCACAATGGGCTATCTGTTCTCTGCCCACCTCTGGCATCGAAACCTAATTTTTAGCAAGGAAGTATTGAACTAAGTTGAAATTAACGGGAAATATTATTTTGTGTTGTTTTACACTGTATTTATGCAATGTCGCTTGAGTACAAAACAAAAATTATTTGGTGCTGTAAGGTTTTGTTTATCTATGATAACTAAATGCCTTTGTTGACGGATTGCTTTATTATTAATATAAGAAGTACGTTGAAAGTATGATTTACTCATTTTTTCTGAAACATCAACTAAATACTAATGTGCAGCTAGAACAGCACAGTAACAAAAATGTCCTACAACTCATTTTTGATTCATTGTATCACACTTAGACTGGATAGATACATTACACTATACAACTCCTACACCCAAACCACATTAGATTATCTGTGCTAGCTAAGAGTGCTGGTTTACGTTATTTAAGGAATGTTGTCAATCAGTGTGTGTAATTCTTAGTTATCTTAGCTTTATTTCTAAGAAGTTAATATAACAGCGTAATCCAAATCAATTTAAGTACTCTTATCAGTCTATCCAGCAAAGTATAAGTTCTCTTACTCGTTTTTGTTGTATTCTTTCTATATTTTACAGCGTACAATGAACTTTGTAGTTTTCCAAAGGCTTACATTACCTAGCATGAAATAGAAAATATATGCCGGTATAGGATAGGATTAAAGGAGATGAGTCATGCCTGCCAGTGTTTAGGCTTGTACACTTTATCAAGTACTCTGAGAGTTCTTGTTACAAGCACCAACTGAGAAGCGTGCTACCAGCACCATTGACAAGACACGGAGAAGTCAAGCCATTAATGATGGAGCTCAGCTCAAAAACTGAGAGATTTTCCTGTGGGGAAGTTTCTTTAGGATGCACTATTGTTGGCTTTCAATGCCCACCACCACTACCATCGATCCAACATGCTTGAACCCCGATGCCCTGATCTGAAATGGTCTGGCTAGTGATGCTATCTGCCAATATTACATTCATGTTGCATCAGTAGACATATCAGAAAGTAAGAAATAAAAGAAGTCTTGAATTCTTAAGTAGGCACTAGTTAATTTGCCTTCTGGTATGGAGAGATCATTCAGTGATTCAAGGATTCTACAGTATGGTCAACGTCGAGATTTTGAAGACTGAGATGGTGCTGCATTCTTGTACTCTCTGATTGGAATATACCACTCTGACTATCCTTGATGCAAAATAGTGGGCACAAACAAGTCAATAAACCAGCCATAAGTGTGCAGCTAAGGATGACTTGGATAGGCATATTCAAAGGCTCTGGCAGATTGGTGCATTGATCCTTGTGCTTGCCCTGGTTGTCCATTTTCAACGAAATCCAACTGGAAAACTGAGACCGTATGGTCAAAGACCTCTGCTACAAACTTGACCTGCAATAAATCAGACTGATATGAAAAATTACAAATGCAGACCAACATATAATTGGTCACCTATTCATGCTAGGGGTGCCATTGTCACAAAACTATCAGAATATCGTTATGAAAAAGTTCAGAGGGAATCTTCCAAGTAACTTTCTCGGTATAAATTAGAAGCACAATTCGTTCTGACTTTGACAGAAGTCGATGCTGAGGTCTAAAAGGGGAGATTTGGACAAAATGCTAAAGTGTAAGAAGCTAGCAGCTCTAGCAGCAGTACCTCAAACAATAGAGAACTCTATGCATTGCAAATTACTGAAGTCTCTAGCAACTCAGTTTCCAGCTTTACAAAGTCTTACTGTTCAGCCAAGGTGGGCATAACCTTATCAAGAGGAGTTTATAGTGTCTATTGCATCTGTTAATTTATTTATGTGGTAATAGATTAACTTTGTTGGGCGTTTTGAGCCACCTCAAGACATTTATCACGGACGTAGATTCATCAAGCAATAGAAACAAGATTGCCTGCATCTTCCTCACCCCTCTAACTTTAGTAGGTGGCAGCAAAGTCTTCCTAATATGAAATAACAACATAAATATCAGAGACAAGATGTAATACCTGCTAGACTGATTAATTTATATTAGTTGACCCCAGCTTGAGTATGGCCACTAACACGAAAGATATGCTGCAGTAAAGATGGTGACGGTCCAATCAACATATTCAAACTTGAGTACACTTTGATAAGTGCTTGTTATAATAATACACAGAAGTGAGATTACGTTCTTGGTGATCACAGGAATATATAAGCCATCACTTTGGCCATTAACAATGACTTTATTTTAATAAATGGTGATTAGCTATGAATGCGTGGGATAGCTCAAGTTGATCTCAATATTAAAAGAAGATTTCCTACAAGTCAGAAATAGTTGTGGCTGATCCTCATTCAAGCATAGACATTTTAGAGATGGATCTGTTGAATTGGCTATTTGCAGGAGTGTCTTGTAATATAGATGAGTTGTGATTCTGCTGACAGATTATTAACTTCTGGCTAAATAAAATCCAGGAACTGTGAACTGTTAGAGTACAGCTTGAGAAATGATAGTGTTTCATGGGAAACTCTGAATGTGGTCCCATGCACAACTACATAAAAATCGTAATGGTGAAAGCAATGCATGAAATAAATGGTTTATTATCCAGAAAGTAAGTTGTACTTGTTTAGACTGCAAGTTATTTGAGAAAAAGTTATACACTAGTGGTGGTATGTAACAGAGGATAAATTACTAGTCTATTTGTAACACTATGTGTAAAGCAGATGTAACCAAAACTAGATGCATAGCTATCATTAGTTCAGTCATGCCATGTCTGGGAATAAAAACACAGATTCCAATACACTTTATGTGCAAAAGAACATGAATATCGAATATTTGAACATGAATAAACACATTACACGAGGGAGGGGATCTTCTAACCCTAAGCTACTCATTGTAAATCAAGTGTTATAAAAAGTCAGTGAACTGGTACTAGTTGTTTATAATTCCTTATTTTTTGACATAAGCAAAGTCATATTTCCTGAAATACCTCCTTTGTATTAACAAAAAATTCTAAATGCTTACTTTATATCAAAATTATTCAAAAGCAAAAATTGGAGTCGCACATTGATCATTCACATTCGCGCCCGTCCGCCAGTGTGTTCATACAAGGAGGCAGGTGAACAATAGTTTCATATAATTCACCGTAGATGGCAGCACGTCATAACTGATTATATACAAGCACGATGTTTGGAAAACACATAGGTTTAAAATTAAAATATCAGTTAAAGACAAACTACGAAACCCTATAACCCGAATGCTTTTAAAAGGTGGACCTTTCTTAATCAGGGACAAACTGGAAGGAGACTGGCTTATCTTACCTTTCCTTAGTTAGTAGAAGTGGTGTATTAACCGATCCAACCAAATTAAAAACGTAAAAGACTGGCATAAGAGAGAAATTCGAAGTTGTATTAATTTTGTCATATTATCGACATTTTATGGTAAACATCTTGCACAAAGCAGCATTGCTGTCTGCCTTAATTAAAGTAGATAAACGCTTTAGCTGGACTGATGACTGTGAAAAATCGTTTCAATCACTAAAGCAAGCTTTAGTAAAAGCAATAGTGTTAGCTTAACTGAAGCCAGATAGTTCACTTGTACTGCATATGGATGCCAGACATTGTGGGGTTAGAGTTGTTACGTCACAAAAATAAGATGGTACGGAGAGAATAATAGCACACAAGGTATATACTGATCTTCATTACTGTGATATTTGTTATGCACTTCGAAAAACTAAAGAACTTCAAAGAACTACAAGGGTTGACTGCAAATGTAAACCATCATCTAGTAAAACAGCATGGAAATCCAGATTATATTTATCAACAGACAGTAAAACCCTGTCTATATGCAGGATGTTCTAATAACAAAACTTAAAGCAGCAAATTAAATCATTCCAGTAACAAATGTATCTTGTCACAGTAAAAATGAATTGGCTATTTACAGGGATGTCTCGTAACATAGATGACTTGTGGTTCTGCTGCCAGATTATTAACTTCTGGCCAAGGATATGCTGATAAGCTCAAGGAGAACCAGCAGAAAGACTTCAGCAAGTTATTAATATAATATACATCAACTAGTTACATAATCAAAACAAACACGACCCATAAACTACGTATAGAAGTTAAAGGGCCATGATCCGATTGGGGTGTTTAATGTCATGGAAACGATAGAGGTATGATACACACAGTACGGTGGATGTAGCACAGAGCTCATAATCTTAGTCACTTATATGAGTAATTAGTTATACATACAAGAGTAAAAACTGAATACTATTAAGGTGATGATGTGTTAAGTATGTGTTATGATGCAAGTTATGCTCTACGTGATGCTAAAGTTGTGGGCACAAATTCACCATGGTCAGTTTTCAGAGTTGGTTTTATTAGTCATTGTTCCGTCAAGATATTGAATGGTGGTATCTATATAATTTTATATCTTGCCCAGAGAAAGAGCTAACCACTTCAAAATTAAGGACGGCTA